TCAATGTCTCTAGGTCAGAAAAAAATGTGTAGAAAACGATTTGCTATGTTAAAAAATTCAAAAAATGTCCTACGTATTGTTTTTATGCAAATTAGTGCCGCCATTACCGAAAAATCTATTTTTCACTATATCTCAGCCAATATTGCAGATAATTGAACGAATTAGGTGTCTAAACCCATGTTTTCAAGGTCAGAGATCACAATAAAAACTATTCTGGAAGTGACCACATGTATGTGTCTGTGGCATAGGGATATGCAAATTAGTGCCGCTAATACCGGAAAATCATGTTTTGGCATATCTTGGCCAATATAGCACATATAGACTAGGCGATATTTCAAAAATTGTTACATGAAGAGGCATTTTTGAGTAGAAGTACCCGGAAGGTTACATAGCTATATTACCTTATTTTGGGGTGCTGAATCCAAAAATGATAGTAACCAAGCTGGATTTTTCGTGAAAATATGCCTAATTTGCATAAATCTTTAAAGCTGTCGCGTAATGTATTTGTTCCCAAAATTGGGGATATTTTATTTTTTTAAATTTTTAAAAATTTATTTTGGTGTTTCTACTTACACTTCCTTACTTCAATAACATTTTCTAAAGCATATAAGTGACTGAATGATTATGAAGACATAGTAACAATCCAAAATGGCTACTATTATACCCCGAAATTGTGCGCGTTTACCTTGTCTCCAGATATCATCAAGTAGTCTTGCAAAACTTACATGTAAGTACCGATGAACTTCAAATTCATCATGTTACTTACTGGTACAGTTACCTTATTAAAACCTTATGGAAAATCATGTGAACAATGATAACATCTTGATATTCAGCCCAGCAAACAAAAACGGGGGGAAACAAGGTGTCCGTAAATTGGGCTATAAAGTAGGTGATGGGTTGCCTAACGTGGGCGACTTGAACAAGTTCAATGAAATTCCCAAAATTATTGCTAAGAATACGTTTTGATCTTGACATAATTATTATAACCAACACTAATCTTTTATTTTGGAGGATTTCCTTGAAGTTGTTCGAGTCTCCTATGTTAGGCAACCCTTCACCTAATCTTTAACCCAATTTACGGACACTTCATTTTTCCCATGTTTTCTTTTTGGCCTAAAAATCAAGACGTTATCATTTTTCACATGATTTCCCATTTCTTCCAGTTAGGGTAACTGTGCAGTTAGTACCTTTATTAATTTGATGCTCAACAATACTGAGGTTTGGCGAGACTACTTGATGACATCTGATGAAAAGTAAATGCGCGCAACTTTAGGGTATGATAGTAGCCATTTTGGATTGTTACTATGTCCTCATAATCATTCAGTCACTTATGCTTTAGAAAATGTTATTGAAGCAAGGAAGTGTAAGTAGAATCACAAACATAAACTTGTCTAAACCCATGTTTTGAGGGTCAGGTATCAGAAGACCATTCACGAAGTATACATGTACGTATGTGTGTCCTTGGCAGGTAAATATGTAAATTCTAAAGTGCCGATTTATCAGAAATTAGATTTTTAGCCAATATCTCAGCCAATATAGCAGCTTATGTTGGCAGAAGGGTTTTTGATAAGCAGTAATGATCAAAGTTGATTTTAAGCCATCATATTAAAAATAAACTGTAATATTGGCTGAAAATCAAATTTTTGATAAACCTGCAGTTTAGAATTTACATATTTTCATGCCAAAGACACACGTTACTTCGTGAATGGTCTTCTAAGGATACCTGACCCTCAAAACATGGGTTTAGACACCTTACTTGCGGAGTTATGTGCAATATTGGCCGAGATACATGTACGTATTGGCTAAAAATCAAATTTCTGATAAACCGACACTTTATAATTTACATATTTTCATGCCAAAGACACACATACATGTAGTTACTTCGTAAATGGTCTTCTAATGATACTTGACGCTCAAAACATGGGTTTAGACACCTAACTGGAGTAGTTATGTGCTATATTGACCGAGATATGCCAAAAACATGATTTTCCGGTATTAGCGGCACTAATTTGCATATTCCTATGCCACAGACACATGTGGTCACTTCCAGAATAGTTTTATTGTGATCTCTGACCTTGAAAACATGGGTTTAGACACCTAGTTTGTTCAGTTATCTGCAATATTGGCTGAGATATACATGTAGTAAAAAATAGATTTTTCGGTAATGGCGGCACTAATTTGCATAAAAACAATACGTGGGACATTTTTTGAATTTCTACGCATTTTTTCTGATCTAGAGACGTTGATTAGAAACTGATTTCCAAGGGTGCACGATACCCCCCTTTTCCGACTTAACTAATAAATTCACCGAAATGTCACTGTCCTGTTTTCTTCTCTGAAAGAAACTCTGCAATTCCTGTCATGTTTTTCTGGTCTCTAATTTGGAGTAACTTATCGCTTCAAATTTGCGATGTGAAGGATCGTATTCTAATTTGTATTATTCTAATTTAAATTTTTTTTTTTCTTTTTTGGCTCTATTCATCTCCAGATTTTTGCCAAACATTCAAAAGTGTCTATTTTCTCAAACTTTGCCTTTCTTTAAATTTTGTTTATAATGTTTTGAAAAGTTACTTTTGTGTAAATCTAAGAAAAGGGACGAAAACGTCATAAAAAAAGACTAAAAGTCTTCAACACTGAAAAAAGCCTTGCAATCATATCCACGGTTACTGTATGCGGGTCATTCCATGTCAGACCAACGCACTTTTTTACCTCATGTCTTCCGATTTTGATAAAAATTGCTGTGCTTGTAGGTCCTAATGAGCAATGAATACACACCAATTTTTAGCCCGATCCGACCTATTATGTGGTCAGGGCAGAAGCCACAAAAAAATGGCATTTTTAGAGTAAAATACCACCCTTTTGGTATAAATATGTCAAAACTATGGCAATTTTCATCGAATATATGTGAATTTGTTATTAAAATAATGAGGATTGCATGCTCAAATCACTTCTTTTGTCAAAATTAAATTTTGTGAAAAGTAGGTCACATGACCTTAAATATGCTATCGTGACCTTTGACCCATTTTTGTAATAATGTATCATTCCGAAAATCAACGAAATAAAAATAACTTGCTAGAGCATGTCTCTCTCTATCAGAATCTACTAAAAATCAGTTGGGGTCTTCAAAATTTACAACTTTATGACTATTTTTGTACAGTTGGTAGGTTACAAATGAGTCAATTTATAGACTTTACATAAGAAATACACCAACACAACTTACTATTCTGTTTCTAAAGTTACTAAAATATATCTTGGTTTGTGAATTTCTCATTCTGAGGGCTGATGAGGTCTAACCAGACTCATAGTGTAAATTATCAGCAGTGGCGCACCCAGGATTTGGCTTTTGGTGGGGGGGGGGGGGGGGGGGCGGGGGGTCATAAATCGTTTTTTGTTCAAATTTCTGTACAAGATTGGACCAACAAAAACTAGCCTAAAATCAAACAAACAAATTGACAATGTTGGGGGTGGGTTTCAAGCCCCCCCCCCCCCCTCCTGGGTGCCACTGATAATTAGTTATCCCACGAGCGCGCTTGGAATATGAAATAATGCAATGATGCTGTGACCCATATGCCACTCGATGCACTACATAATTCCGTGTTCCACGAGCGCAAGTGGGATTTATAACCAATTTATCTTCAAGCAAACTTGGTATCAAATGCGTACACGCGGTGAAGATGTACGTGCATACATGTAGTGTATTGGTCCGTTCTGCAGGAAATAACACAACATATGTACACGTACATTTTTAATATCTGGGGTGCAATATAGCTGTGCAATATTATATAAAATCACACAGTTGTTGCTATAGATGGACTAATCAGGGTCTAGGATTCAAGTTTGCTTGAAGATAATACTTAATATTACAATCAAAGTTACCTTACTCATTCATCACTGTGCTTCTTGAACTTTAATGACTCTCACAGACTTGGCATTTTGTTCCTTTGAGATGAATTTCACCTGGACGTGAGTCCGCTGTACTGGGTGAAGGCCTGGTTACTGTTAGTAGTTAGCACACTTCCGAGTCCAGATATTCTGATTAGACAGTTTCTTTGGAATCAGAAGGTAGAATTTTGTTTTTCCTGGCTTTGTACTTTATACATAAAAATCTAGATTAATTTGAAATACACCACTTACTATTCTGTTTCTTAAGTTACTAAAATTAAATGTTAGTAACTTAAGAAACAGAATAGTAAGTTGTGTTGGTGTATTTCTTATGTCAAGTCTATAAATTGACTCATTTGTAACCTACCAACTGTACAAAAGTAGTCGTAAAGTTGTAAATTTTGAAGACCCCAACTGATTTTTAGTAGATTCTGATAGAGGAAGACATGCTCTAGCAAGTTATTTTTATTTCGTTGATTTTCGGAATGATACATTATTACAAAAATTGGGTCAAAGGTCACGATAGCATATTAAAGGTCACGTGACCTACTTTTCATAAAATTTAATTTTGACAAAAGAAGTGATTTGAGCATGCAATCCTCATTATTTTAATACCAAATTCACATATATTTGATGAAAATTGCCATAGTTTTGATATATTTATACCAAAAGGGTGGTATTTTACTCCAAAAATGCCATTTTTTTGTGGCTTCTGCCCTGACCACATGGTAGGTCGGATCGGGCTAAAAATTGGTGTGTATTCATTGCTCATTAGGACCTACAAGCACAGCAATTTTTATCAAAATCGGAAGACATGAGGTAAAAAAGTGCGTTGATCTGACATGGAATGACCCATGCACCATATATATTCATTCAAAGACAAACAGGTCTAATATCCTAAATTTCACAAGACCACCAGTCAGAAAAAAATATCAGGCAAAAAAACAACAACATGTTTAGCGTCCTGCCTTTTCGAAAAAAAAGGAATGTGGAGGCCCTATTTTCCCCCGTCCAAAATGGCCGCCCACTTTTTCAGAGGGTTGCAGACATCAAAATATTTGGTTGGAATCAAACATACAAGTTGAACATTTATTAATACCCCCCCCCCCCAAAAAAAAAACCAAACAAAGAAACAAAAAAACGATCAAATTTGTCAAAGAGCACAGGGAACACAACTTTTACATTCTGTTTTTTTCATTTGATGGTTGCTGCTAGCTTGGATGGCAATTCATACCCAGATGCGTCCTGCATAGGAACTCTCAGGCTCTGCTTCTTTATCTTGACAGGGTGTGAAACAGCCTTCCCAATTTTGCCTCTGGATGCAGTAGGATCATTCTTGCGCTCTGGGTAGGAAGCATAAGCATACTAGAGGCTTTCCTTGCACGTAGGAGAATCCTGCAGTTCCAGGTACTCAGAGGTGATAGGACCATCTCTGTCCTCCTGGACCGCAGCATAAGCAGAGTCTTGCATTTCCTGGCCTTGCTCTGCCGCATCTTGGACATCATCATACTCATGGCCTGCTCGCGTCATTTTCGGTCCCGCTGGGGGGCTTGTAGACTTCCGGTAATGTTTTCTTTGCCACACAAGCAAGATATTGAGGACAATCACTGCTACTGCTAGGACCACAACCGCCACGATCAAAACCACAGTGACTGGAGATGATTGTTCATTCTTTGGACAATTGCAAGGTGGTTCCTTGGAGGGTTTGTCTGTGTGTAACCCTGTGGATACGACACTCATTGTTGTCTGTTCCCGGTTGACTACATCAATCCTTGTGGTTGTATTACCAGACAATCCAGATGGTACACTGACAGTGCAAACCAATTCAAGATTCTCCATCACTGCTATCTCCAAAGTTTGCCCATCCTCAGACACTGTGCACCTCTCTGTCGGTAGGATTTGTCCTGTTTCAGTGTCGATTACTTTCCAACTGTAGTTGGTGATATTAGGCACACCCTCCCCACTGCATTGGAAAGTTGTAAAAGTCCCCTCCTCAACCCCAGATACTGCTGGTCGGATGGTGGCCTGTGGTAAGATTCTTAGCGGCATCACGGAGCAGTTGCGTGACTCATCTAAGGCAGGTGTGGTCATGATGCAAGTGAAAATCACACCATTGTCTTGAGCTTTTAACTGATATTGATGACGAATTGAATTAGTCACAGGACCTACCAACTGTTCATTCTCCTTATAATAGGTGATGTTTGGAGTAGGTTTTCCTGCTTGGGAATTACAGTAAAGAGTCCCATAGTCTCCCACGGCCCTTGATTCAGGTTGTACACTGCACCACGGTGACTGTGTGGATGGTGGGACCTGAACCATAAGATCAGCAGTGCCAGCAGTTTCTACATTACGCCCGAGATAGCCATACCGGCAAGAATACGTCCCTTCATCAGTTTCCTGTACATTTGTGATCCTCAGAGTAAACTCGTCTTGGCTCTCATTACCTATGATGGACAGACGTTGTTCCAGCTGTGGGGGTAGAGGTGGGTTTGCAATCACCGATCTATCAATGCTAAGGTACCTCACAAAGCCTCCTTGACTTCGGTAAAGCCAGTAGACACTATAACCAATTACATTTGTCAAGTCGCACACGAATTTGACTGTGTCTCCTTCATGAACCACAGCATCCTGTGGGCCTCTTTCTAGCTGGGGTTGTGCCAGAACATGATGACAAGCAAAACTTAGGAAGAAACACAGCAGACCAGCAGACAGAATGAATCTATTAATGGGAGACATGTTGGTGGCTTCAAGCCTTCAGACACAGGCTACCTTTCCACAAACTTAATCCAACCAATGTTTTGTCGAACTCTTTCTGTTAGCAGAGAACTGTTTCGTGATTAGAATTCAGAGCATTTTGAACTACTTAGTTTTTTCCCCTTCTACACGTACTTCCTAGTCGAGGAAACTTGGTTGACACTTTTATGTTTCAGAATTACTTCCTGTTTTCTTAACACATCCTTTGAAGGACTCTTGACATTATTGATGATATAGATAAAACTGAAATGAAAAAAGAAATCCTGTGTTTACAAGAAATGAAATTTTAATTATGATACTGTTCCAACTCAAAAAGTTACTACATGTACGTACATGTAATTTATACTGTGATACGGTTTATGGCTTTTGTATGCCCTGATCACGCAGTGGCATTTCCACACATTGGTAATACAAATGCTGTGGTTTAAGTTATTAAAAGACTCATTCCCATGTTCTCTCACAGGGATGGGTTTGCTCAGTTTCAATCAGTTCAAATTGTTACTTTTCTGTTTACTTACATTGTTCATATCAACATATTATTTATCTTAATTGTCTAACAAGTGTATATTTTGGTCATGTAAGGAATATACGGTACATGCACCCTGTATATTATTCAGTACAATATGTACTAGTTCCGGTATGTCCATGATCAGAATAACACATGACATATTCCACTTTCTCGTTTCCCTTTCTGTACTTCCTTTGCCGTTGTCTAGAGGCTGATCAGATTTGACCTATTTAAACTTTGGTTTGATGCTTCCAATGTTAAAGGTGTTGCTGGACACAATTTGCAAAAAATAATATATATATATTTTTTATAATTTGCAGATTAAAGGAACAAAATACAATAACTCATCTGAAGCAGCTTATTAAAAAAACCCATTTCAGCTCAGTAGATCTCATAGCTTTTGACATAATTTTGAAAATGCATCTTCATGTTTCTCGATGCAGAGCAAGATTTCCGTTGAAAGCCCTCCCATCTAAACTATTCATTAATACTTTTTGACTTGCACCCGCTTGTGGTATGATCCGTAGTTTCTCATATTGCGAAATATATTAAATTCAGTCATTTGGGAGTAGTAGTTTTTAAAAAAAAAATTCTCGCAATGGTTCGATCCGAAACATTGTCAGGAAATGATGGAATTTCCTCTTTCTTGAACATGACAGCATACTAGGCACAACGATTTCACAGGATGCTTGACATTATTATACACTTACAAGTTACAGTTAAGTAGGATATTTCATAATGTTTGGCAGATTTGTTTTTGAATATTTGCAAATAGTGTCCATTACTTTTAATGTGAGGATGCAGTATTTTGCTTGTTTGTTTGGTATTATTTATAAATAACCATTTCCCCCTGCAGTTTCTTCAACAGAATATATCCCACATCAGAGAAACTTTTTAAAAGCATCTATTTTCTAAATTCTGTTACCTAAAATAGTAAAAGAAAATACAAAACAAGTGGGGGATGGCTTGTGGGAGGGTGGCTTAGTGGTTGGGAGGATGGCTAGAGAGCATCTTACAATTGGATGGACTGTTCAAAGCAGAAGATATTGCACACCATTAAATAGTAGAAGGCACTCTTTGTTGAAGCAAGTCAAGAAAGCCGCACAACTCTTCCAAGGGGGGGGGGGGGGTTGAGGGGGGCACCCTAAATATGCCAGTGCTATTCTCTAATGAAGCGATTACAAAGGATCTGCCAAAACTGGTTTTTAGCACAGCAACCTGATCAAGCTGATGTAAACATGGCCACCACTCGTTACGGACTTGTGTAGTTTCTGAGCATTATTATCTTGTTTTGTTTAAATTAACAACATAAAAATAGAAGACACTTTTATTTGTATGATTACAGTCCGTGGCGAAACAGTTGACCCCTGTGAGGTAGCATTCATTGACCAATTTTCCGAACGATTTACTTGGCTTCAAATACATGTGCAGTACCAATGGCAGGATCCGTTGCTAAGTGTGTGGTACCACCCATCACTAGGATTAGGTGACACTTCTCCCTCACCATTACGTAACACTTTGATGGTGAATTAAAGACTGCACACAAACAATGTGTCCTTTCATCAAGTTTGAAGAAGATCAAGTCAAATCCGTTTCATCTATAGTTCTTGCAGGCTTCACACTAATACATACATCACGGTAGCTTCAACCAAACTTTAAGGTAGACTACATCATTTCTCATTTGTGTATTTTTCCCGTTTGAAGCAACAAAAGTGCTAAATCTAAAGAAGGAGCTTAACAACTAACCTGATGAAGTTTCAGCTCAGTGAATGCTGTGTATTCCGAGAAAACAATATTCTGGGATCACGATTTCAATTCAAAAGTTGCCGAGTCATGTTTTGAATTGCGCCCGAAATAAGCGTCCTGGACACCTTGTCATTCAGTTGATTGCAGCTTCGTGATGTCACATACTGAACTGACGAATAACAGCAACCCCACGCGCATGTGCCTCATGTCAACACTTGCTCGCACTCATTCATATAGCCGAATTAAAAAATGAACTACATTGTACTAACGGAAACTTCCAAAAATGCATCTTTAGACACATCGATGGAAAAAGCCTTCTTTTATTGTTTTTTTTTTAAATGAAGGCATGCCAGCAAGAATGATTTCACAGGGAATTTTAGTTCCATTACGATCTTTAAACCAAGTGTGTTTTTCAACAATAATTTCGTCAGTTACTTTTTGGATAGCTGCAAATGATCTACCCTACCTTTAATCCACGACCCTGATTGTTCAATCCATGACAACAACGGTGTGATATTACCCGTTTTTGCAACAGCACGTTGTGCGCTGACATACGATTTATGGGCTCCGTTCACAAATACCCCCACAACGGTAATATATAGGAAGCGTTAGGGACATCCAAACGCATTGCCTATTTTTAGGATTATAAATGGGAGAGTGACCTGTCATGTGTGAGGGATTAACCAATAATAGGGACAATGAGTCCGATTTTCATAGGAGTCAGATTTTCATGACACCGACACTCATCACCCTCAACTTTAAACTCTGACTTGGTACTCCAAAGATGTTTCTTTAAAATATCAAAACCTGCTACAAATGCACAAAATATTGCTGAAAAATCGCTTATTACAGCAACTGGTATTAGCTAATTTACATTTGTTAAATTTGGCTAATTCTAGCTACATGTATTGGTTTGATGTAAACCTCTATCTACACATCAAATTAGCTAATAATACATTTTTAAGATTCCTTCATTCCAAAAACGATTGAATAAATTTTTTTAAATTAAAAAGCCATTTTATTAAACAGATCCACCTGAAAACAAAAAAAATCGAAAACTTCTTTGTATTTTTGGCTTTAAGCCATTGTGACAACAAGTCACATATGCAAATAGTGATATGTAAATACATGTACACGTATGCAAGTTCATTTAAAAAAATATAATTATAATTAACTGAAAAACCAACAACAAATTCTACCTCTTTCTATTTTTTTCATGAACTTGTTTAAACACACTTGAGTTTAAACACACTGGTTACTGGAAAATTACAACTTTTTCTCACACTGTAAATAGATGTTAAAGTCAATAACTTGTTACTTTTTCTCCTTGACAAATAATAATGTACGAGTGTAGTATTCATTATGATATTTCAATCCTTTATCTATTACAGTTTATATAAGCCACAACCCTCACACCATGAACAGAATAATACATTCACCGAAAGGTCCCCGTACCATTTCCTTCTCTGAAAAAAAATAACTGTAAATCTTCGTCACGTTTTTCTGGTTTCTAATTTCGAGGAAATTGCTTTAAATTTGCAATGTGAATGATCATACTTTTGAAAGTTTCCACCTCCAGATTTTGCCAGAAAATCAAAAATGCCTTGATTTAAAACTTTGCCTTTCTGTACAAAAATTATAATCTTTTGAAAAGTTATTTTTTTTCCAGAAATTATAATCTTTTGAAAAGTTATTTTTGTAAATCTAAGAAATGGGACAAAACAGTCCAAAACCTGCAAAAATAACTTGCAATCATATTCACGCTCACTGTGTATGCCTTTTGTTTTACATTCGAAGACAAAAAAGCTTCATTATCCTAGATTTCAAAAGACCAGCAGGCGAAAAAATATAGTCCGTGGGACGAGGCCTTTTTTCGCTCGTCACGCGATCTGGTTCGCCAAATTTTATAAAACTTCACAGACATGTAGATTATGGTGTACCATATCGAAAAAACTTTGTTCCCGATCCACAGTTTGTTTGGGAATGACAAAATCTGGGATAAAAACGCCGAAAATTCTACATGAGAAAAAACCTGATGATGATGACAAGCAAAACTTAGGAAGAAACACAGCAGAGCAGCAGACAGAATAAATCTACACTGTATCAATGGTAGACATGTGGTGGCTAACAAAATGCTATAGCTTTCTTTCAAGCCTTCAGATTACCTCTCTTTCAACACACAGTTTACTGTTGCACAAATCCAACCAAAGTGTTGTCCTGCTGGCAAACTATTGTGACAGTGTTTTATTTTTAGACCAACAAAATAGTTATTTTCCCCTGCAACTTCCTATGCTAAGAATAAAAGCTGTGCAGCACAATATCGCATGATTTGTATATTGGCTCCGCCATTATAGCTATTTAAAGGACTCTGATACATTTTATGCCATACATGTAAATATGATCATGTTGGATGAAAAATTACATAACAATAAAAATACTACTCATTTAAATATTAAACATTTAAAGCAACTGGCATCAGCTAATTTGCAAGTTATGCACAAAATTAACAGCATTGTTTTAAATCTGTGGTGAAATTTTTCTTACATGTATAGGCCCTTTACAGCAATTTGTTGAATTAACCTCTCTTCTCCTGTTTAAATTTACAAATAACACATTTTCAAAATTCCTTCATTCAAAAATTTACACCTTCCCCCCCCCCCCCCCCCCCCAATTGACAGCGTCATGATCTGACTTGAGTTTAACTTGATGATGCAACTTCCTTAAACCTAATAGGAAACAGATTTTTAAAAATATAATTCCACCCCCATTTTGAGAAAATGGCATTTAAAAATCTTGCTTAAAATTCAACTTATTAAACGGATCCACCTGAAAACAAAAATTGGACAACCCCTTGAATTTTGGCTTAACCCCAATGAATTTCAAAATGGCAATTTCTG